TTCTTCAGTTTTCAATCAGTTAATGGAATTTATATTTTCCCAGATATTCACAAAAAGTCGCAGCACTATTTCTATCTGGATGAGGTACACTAATTTTAACCAGAGCCTATTGGCTAACATATTTAATTGCTATTAATAATTCAAATTTTCACTATGAGACAGAATGAAATTTGTTGACACTTTACATGGATCTCTATGACATTAAATAATTTATCAATACTATAATATATAACTTTTTTTAATCATAAAATAATGATAAGATCTATTTTAATGTGCCATGGTTATGGAAAGTGGTCATGCCTATATGAAAATTTGGCTAGGACATAGTTGGACAAACTATTCATAATTTTTTAAAATGTATATATTATAATTTGTAATTATAAAATGCCTATTGATTTTATTTTACAAGTTTATCTCATATAGTTTTATCATATAGAGTACTGATGTTGCAGAAATTGTTGATAATGTTGTGATTAAAATTGATATTGTTGTTTAGATCTATTTATTTAATTGTTTTGCAGGAATGGATATTCTGTGTGTGAATAGTCCAGCCGGATGATCCCCACTGACTTCCGTCAATTAACAGAGGATATTACCACAGCCCTTTTACTTGATTCGATGTTGAGTTATGAAACTTGAGACACTTAGCATCTGATGGAGAAGCACAAACTCCTGTAAGCCAAACCCAGTGCATTTCGATATATTGTACCGAAATATACTTATGATAATGAACAGTTAAATACAGTATAATCCTTCCTCTATTCTTTTGCATTGACCCTTAAATTGACTGGTAATTAATATTGTAAATTATTTGTTAATTAGTGAAAATTATTTTTTTTCCTGAAGCAGTTAATAATATATATGGTAAAACACTGACAAAGAACAACAAAATAAAGTTTGAAATCTGAAATCACTGTGGTTTAGATCATTTTTTGAGTTTCGTACCATGACAGTTACAATGTATTTTAATCCAAATACATGCAACTAAATCGTTTTTTTATTACCTGCAATGTAGCCTCTTTATTATTTTTAAAAATTAAACAGAATGATTAATTTATTGAAAAATAAATCTGATAGCTATGGAGATCTGAACAATCCACTGTAACTTAGAAATAATACAAGAAAAAAAATTGATACTAAAGGGTGAAATGTGTTGTGAATAATTTAAGATTAAAATATAAATGTATTGTAGGCCAAAACAAATGGATGTCATGAAATTAAATAAATTAGGCCTCTTTGTTGCCCAACATACTGTACAATGTAACAATAAATTAAACTTTTCTCATTAAACAATAATTTATTACTTAGCTTCTCATCAAATGTTAATTTAAAAAAAACAAAACAATTGATATATTATTCATTGTTTAATCTCGGAATTACAGCTTATGCAAAAAATGCAATTAATTGTCCATAGAACGATGATATTCCCCCATTCGTACGTAGCAAATTGAGGTTCCTAAATTTAAGCCAGTTTGAAAAAAAATATATATATTTATATTATTATTAATGTTATATTTACAACAATTACATTACTGTATGTTAAATCTAATAAGGCATATTTCCAATCGATGTCTGCTAACCCGACGTGAATAGGGCCTATTGACTATTGTGCTCTCTCTGGCTAGGCCAAACCTGCATGTGCTGAACTTCCGGCGAGAAAGCATGAGTTTGGCTGTATCATATAGTCCTATCGATAATAATACTGTATTCATTAACCGGCGTGAAGTTGGTTACTTTCTATGTGGCACACTTCTGTTGTGAAGGTGCTTCTAAATATTACCTCCATACATGGTTGGACTAATTATTATTAGGGGCTTAGCACTCGTCGTGGTGCAGAAGCTAAGCTGACCTGAATCCTCCTTATCATTAGCTGGGCCGAGGTGAAGCATAATTAGCATGTTTAATTTATGCCGCGGTAATTAGCCAACCGGAAATCAAAGTTGTTAAATACGTCACCCACCACGAAATCGTGGCGGCTGCAATCGAAATTCTCACTGTTTGCCCAGTCCCTAATCCAAGAAAAAGTATACTATGAAACGCCAAGCAAATAGGTAATATGGAACGCTATTGGTGCCAAAATCGATTTTCCCAGCTTTTTTACTGATTAAGACAAAGTTTAGGGACTGGAACCCAGTTTAGAACCAAATAGCGGCGGCGAAGAGGGTATGATTACCAAAAAATCGTCTTAGGAACTAAACAGCGGCTGCGAAGAAGGAATGAAATAATAATGAGAAAACTATATGTTATGGATAGAAAATAATGAGAACTCAAGGAAGCGGGTCGAAAGCCTATTGACTATCTTTACAGCCAGTTCATCGGTGTTCGTCAGAGAGAATTGTAATTAAATTATCACAAAAAATTATATTGGCTTTCTTATCCTACGTACTTAGACCTAAGCATTAACAATCCTATAAAAAATAACCACCGAAACTGACGACACAACCTAGGGCCTACTACTAGCCAAGTAGTAGAGTCAGGGTATTCCACTAATGTCGAAAAATATGGTGCCTTACGCTGAAGAGGGTTAGTGTTAGGTTAACTATTATCGAGTTATTGTACGGTACCCATGTTTTATCGACCCATTAAAAATAGCCACACACTGGTGGCAGTAGTAGAAAAGCCTAGCCAAGCTATGGGGGAGAGGAATATGAATAAAAATAAATAAAATATTATTAAAATTAATATTATTATTATTAATATTAATAACAATAATGGTAAAAATGCGGTTTGGCTCAGTGGTTTTCATTCTGGTTATTGAACTTGTAGTCAGCAGGAGTACAAACAAATACAAACAGTAACATGGATGGCAAAACAAACAAGAGAAAACAACGTAAAAGATTAAGAGATGAGATTGATATTTATTGGGGAAGAGTGAAATGGTGCAACACAGCAAGAGAAAAAGATTAATTTGGCGTCAACATCCTGAAACATTTGTCCAGCAGTGGACCGAAAATAGCTGATGATGAAGTCCCTGAAGGTTATCAACGGGTCGAGCCTTGAGTCTGGGTGACAGCTTAAATAATCTACAATATGATTAGGCCTGCCTAAAATCCAGACAAAGTGAGGCCCAGCCGCAGGAAGAATCTTAGATGACCCACCCTAATCTTTAATTCATATACAGTATTATGCATATTGCAATAAAACATTAGGCATATCCTTAACAATAAATTAGCAGAGCTATATTTATTGATCTATAGGAAAATACAGTTACAGATTTATTTATTGAAACAGCTAACTTAAATACGATAACAAAATGTATACATATTATAAATTTGGAAGTAGATTTATACACAAATTGGATAAGCTACAGAAGTTGCGGCGTTTTTTGCTTCTTTTTTTTTATAGGAAATATATTTTGTTTATACATACGACAATTTTTTTTTTGTTTTTTTTTTTGTACCAAATTTATGGGTCTGTGTTAGGTATATGAACGAAATATTATGAGCACAGGTATGCAATGGATGTTTTTGCCAGGGGCGTTTTTAAACAAATGGTTCAACAACTTGAATGTACCGTACTGTACGTGCGTGCCGATATTTCAATTGATTTAGAAATAGGTTTTCAAGAAAGTATTTTTGTTGTGCATCACACCGTAGCGTGAAGCCTACGTAAACACTTGAACATGAAGAAAATGACACTGAATTTAAAATTTAAATGATAAAAGATAAGGTTTGTTGGTGTGGAAGTTAAACAAATCATCCTGATTGCAGTGAAGCAGAAAAAATGTATTTTGTACCCAGTAAGCTACTCGAGGCATGGTTCCTGTCTGATAGTTTATTTTGGTCATTGTTAAACTTATTAAACACAACTACATTTGATATAAAAACGACTTCTGGGTTTGACGGTGTTGTTAACACCAAAGTTATGACAGTATAAACAATTAAATTTTCATTTTCATCTGTTTTTTTTTTATTTATTTATTTTTTTAATTAGAGAGTGGCACAATTATTGCTAGCTCGTAAAATAATGTCATCTGAGTTGGTTTTTAATTACTTGAGTATGAATGTATTATAATAATTTTATAGGGATTATCTCTATAGGAACATGTAAAATCTATATAGAGTATTAACATATATGAAATTTCAATATAAATTTATTTATTTATAGTATATTCTGTAGAACTGTATAATATTTTAAACACAGTCATTTTAAAAACTGTAACTTTTAATAGTCTATAAAAAATATATATAAAATATATATAAAAACTCTATGGAAACTTTTATAATTTGTAAAATTGTTTCTCTATAGAAAGTATATATAAAATGAATACGAATGCTATGGAAGTGATTATCTCTAAATGAAATATTAAAAATTATTTTGAATATCATATCAATAAAAAAAAATTATGTATAGATTGTATATATAAAATCTATTCAAACTCTATGAAAAATTTCGGGAACCGGTAATACATTGGTAGCCTTATGGGCTGTCTCTTATACACATCTAGATGTGTGGGGGAGCGGGTCTGTAGTCCCCTAAACTTATCCCTCACCTACTCACCTATTTTTCATCACTTTATAGACGACGACATGCTTCAGCTTATGGTGAGAGAAACCAACAGGTACGCTCGAAAGCTCATCCAAAATGCAGGTAAGGTAACTCCAATTTGAAAGATTGGCGTGATACGGATGTAAATGAGGTAAGGGCTTTTATTGCTTTACTTTTAGCTCTAGGAATGGTTAGGCATGGTAGATATGAGTCGCATTGGTCGACCCATTGGCTTCTGGATCATCCTGGACTTAGATCTGTTATGTCCAGAAACAGATTTTATCTGTTGCTTAGATGTATTCATCTTGTAGATGATGATGATGGTCTTCCCAGAGACGACCCGAATTATGACAAGGGTTTCAAGGTTAGATTTTTTTATGGATCATGTTGTAAATAATTTTCAGACAGCTTTTTATCCCTCCAGGAATGTGTCAGTAGATGAGAGTGTGATTGCCTTCAAGGGTAGAGTTGGTTTCAAGACTTAACATCCAAAGAAACCGCACAAACTAGGGATGACTGCCTGGAAATTGGCCGATTCCAAGACTGGATACGTATTTAATTCGGAACTGTATATTGGGAATAATCAAGCTAACGCCACACAGGTGACAGTTATGAATCTTTGTCAACCAATCACAGGTAAGAAACATCATGTCTATATAGACAATTATTTTTCTTCTCCAGATCTATTTACCAGGCTAGCAGATGAAGGTTTGGGTGCATGCGGCATTTTGAGAACAAACAGGAGAGGAACACCCAATGCCATTCAAAATGCAAATCCTGCCGTTGGTGATTCTGCGTTTGAAAGAGACGGTAAGTTGCTCTTTATTGCTTGGACGGACAAGAGAAAGGTAAGTGTCTTGAGTACAGTTCACAATTCTATGACATTTGACAGGCAAGTGAGTGAAAGACGTGGACCAAATCACCGTGTAATCAACAAACCATGCGCCATCGAACTCTATACTCAGTACATGGGTGGAGTGGACCAAGCCGACAGGTTGATATGGACTTACCTGCATATTCACAAGAGCGTCAAATGGTGGAAGAAGGTATTCATCTACCTTTTGGAGGTAAGCTTTGTAAATGCTCTTATTATTTACAGATGTTTTCGTCCAGATGAACGTGTCAGATTAGACAAACTGCGCCTTGAACTCATTGATAGTCTACTTGCCAACTATGCACGTCCTTCCTCAAGGGCAGGGAGAAAATCGCAAGCTCCACCCCGCCGGCTAACGGAACGTCATTTTGTCTCGATCAATGATGCAAAAACACCAGCTGGGAGACAAACCACGCCAGACTGTGTAGTGTGTTCGAAGAGAGGGGTAAAGCGTCACCAAACACCATACATGTGTAAGGAATGCAACCAGCCGATGTGTCCTGTGCCGTGCTTCCAGCGATTCCACACACTTATTGACTACAAAGCAGAATGCACAAAGGAGTATCACAAATGAACTGTGAGTATGTCAAAATGTCATGTTTTATTATAGATTATAAATGAAAATAACGATATATAATACTATCATATATATATATATATATATGTTTTCTCTAATCTTCAAATATGTATGCATCATATACTATATGCTTTTGTGAAGGGGTGCAGAAATGTACAACCTATTCCTCGCTATGATCATCAACCTTGACGTGGTAGCGAGGCTTGTGTGTCTCTGTAATCAGTTGGAGGCCAGACTAATGATGATCCATTTATCAACAATCATTCATATATTTATTTTCATAATTATTTATTTAGTATAAATAAACGGTTAAACTATACAAACGACGACAGAATAATAATGGTTTCATTCTTTTTATATACTTTTTTATATACATTTAATAATAAACAGTAAGTCAACACACTAACCGACTACATAGGTGACTGCAATGTTTACAACCTAAACTGTGAGTATGCTCAAAGTACATATAGTTCGAAAAATTTATAGAAATTGCATAGAAAAGGTTTAATAATTACCTTATACATTCTTATATACATTTTATATACAACATAAATGAATGAAAATGTATAAATTATATTTAAAATGTGTGTGGGCTGTGAACACTTTTTATTAAAGTATATTTAAATTATATAGAACAGAAATTATACATATAAATAACAAAATAATTTTAATAATTTTTCAAGTGAAAGCAAAATATGCTTGCAATAATTTCCATTAAAAATATTTGTAAGGTAGAAACAGATTTGTTGACATTACACATACCAAATGATCCAGAATACTTTTATATCTTTTTTATATAAATTTTTATATCCAAAAATGTTCAAAAATTACATATCATATATCAACATATAGCTAAATATGTAAGGAACATTTTTTTTTTAAAGAAATAGATTTGGTTGAAATTATACATAGAATTGATATAAAAAACATATCTTATAAGCTTTATATTTTTTATATATACTTTTCATATACAAAATGAACTCCAAAATTTACAAATCATATATCAAAAGATAGCTAAATGTATAAGGAACATATGTTTTTGAAAAGTTTTTTTCATAAATTTAACAGAAACAGTCAAAAAACACATGTGAAGAGAGTAGCCTTCAAAACCAGTAATAACAAGTGATAGTACTAAATATAATACGGTTTCCTGTGGTAGTACACACTGGGAAATTTGGTATGGGGTTAATAAATTATACAAAAGAAAACAAACATACATCCAACAGTTCGTCCAGATCCAAAACACGTTCGTCGTCACCCAGCAAATCGAATGTCAGTTTCTTTCGTCGATCTCGCCGCCTCTCGGATTGAAACAGTGTCTTTGGGGACAGCAAATTCACGCGGAATTGCCATGCATCGGGCGTGTCCTCTTCACGAACGTTCTCCGGGATCTTGGAGCAGATGTACAACTCTATGCTGCTGTCGAATTGGTCCAATTTTTGAAAAAGCGGTATTAGTATATCATCCTCTTCAATTATTACTTTTCCCATGGAAGGTGTCCCGACACCGCGTATGGGGTCAAAATCTCTGAAAGCGTTCGCCATTATTCTCGCGCACGGTTTCCTTACGTTTTCCAGCTCCGAATACATCAGCATGTCGTATCTGATTTTAACGTGCAACGTGGTGGCCCGCGCCAAGTATTCGGCGTCTATCATTTGGATGTCACGAACCGTGAACCCTAACCAATCGTCCAGCCGATCTGGAAAGACGAGCCAAAACACCTTCACTCTGGCACTCTCGTCTTCGGAGCACACGCACGCGTACGGCTCACTCTTGTAATGGAGATGTGTCGCGAGACGGAACAGGACCTGCATCAGTACGTACGTGTGCGGAGCGCAGTCCAGGAGGCAATCGTTGGGCGCCTCTTCCGAAGTGACTTCAACGCACACGACCTTCATCGGCTCACGGAACACGAAATCCTCATCGACGCGATTAAACGATTGCACCTCGCATGGTTGTAGATCCTCCTTCTCGCTTTCAAAATAATGTGCTTCCATCTTGTCTTGAAATGGCACAGCTGCTTATAACTCGAATTTTTTTTTCATGACGTCATGGGTACCCGGCCACTCATAATGATCGTTTGTAGTTGCAAGTCGATCCAACCGACATGAAGTCATGGGTACCTGCAGTAATGAAACATATGAGATACGAAGACGTCACCGAACAGCATGTATAAAGCAAGACATAGGCGAGACGAGCAATTCAAAAAGTGTTTCATTTCATTGTTTCACGATGCCTTCCTTCGTTAGACAAAGACCAAGTTTGACTCCGTCCGCAAGAATGCAATTGCTTTGGCTGGAGAACCGAAGAAGAAGTATACACGAATGTTGTCTCGAGTTTGTAGGAGACAGAGAACGACTCGATCGAGTGTTTCCGAAAACCTTCGTCATCGTCAACGGAAACCAGAATATATTGGAATCGACGAGATCGAGGTTGATCTCGGATACTTCGGCACTTTACCGTCTGCTGCACGACGTCATCGAAGAACGGAGGGCGACCGGATTGAACGTGAACGAATGCTGGGCGCTTTTCTGGTACCTGTTCTCCTCGTGCAGAATTGCGAAGAAACAACTGATGACGATGAAGTATCGTGCCTTCCCAAAACCGAGAAAGTACGAAAAAGTGTTGAAGCCGAGCTTGAAGCCGTGGAGCTTAATACCACAACAACAACTCGATCAGTGAGCGTCTGAACAACATTTCATCGGCCGGCAGCCCGGTCGTCCTGTGAAAATGCAACTTCGTCGCAGTATTTTTGCGTTCTTGCGTTGATGTTGTGTTTCTGCAGATAGTGGCAAATATCATCCCATGGTATGTAAAAGTACGACGACGTTTTACTCTATATTAAAATACGAAATGGAAGTCCATTTCACCCCATGACGTCATGGGTACCTTCCTCCTCATGCCAACCGCATTCGAAGTGGCACGTCGATCCGAACCCCTATTACGTCATGGGTACCCGAATTCGAACAAAGTCCAGAGAAGTCGAAATTTTTTTCAAAGTCCAGAAATCTCGAAAAGTACAACGAAGAAAAACTAACAATTAGACTTTTTCATATTTTTTTCTGTTATTTATTTGTCAAAATCTCTTAAAATCTACATACTTTTTGTTTAAATCGTGACAGTTCACTTTCTTTATTTAAACAATGCCCATCGCTTCCTCGTAAGAGGGAGGATGAGACGGGGGAGATGCGGTGGGCTGTTCTTCGTGGCCACGATCGAGTGCTTTGCACGCACTCGTAGCCGTGCATAACGACCACCCGTTCATGAAACTGAAAAATATCAGGAACATGTAAAAAAATCGAAACTGACGATATCTGCGAAGCCATCGTCTTCTCCTGCGCGAATGTCGTCATCAAGTATGCAAACGGAACCAACCTGTTGAAGAGGTACGTGGAGATCGCGTATCCGTAAACCGTTCGGACTAAAGTCCGACGAGAAGGGTACTCGGAGTGAGTAAAGCACGATTTCATCTGTCCTTGTATCTGCTCCAGAACTCCGCTCCCCTGCGACGTCATGACGATCAATCCTATTAACGGTTCTTCTCCTTTCGACAGTGCTTGGATGAATGCGGATGTTACCATAGCGTCGAAGATCGAGTCGATCGGTGGCTTCTCCAACACGTCCAAGACCAAGTAGCAGACGAACACGCCGAGCGTCACGCAGAACGGCAACCGGATGTCGATGGTGCTCGCCTTCGTTCTGTCGGTCAATATGCCCAACGTGAACGTGACCTGGACGGCGATCGTCGGTAGGACCGTGCTCACCAGTATGCGAAGATATCTGAGGGAGAAATAACACACGATAAGAATCTATTTTTTTTTGTTTTATATTATTTTTAAATCCTTCGAAATGAAACTTACGTTTTTTGTAGCTGTCGTGCGTGAGTTATTCGGAAAAGAGTCCATTCGGGAGGCTCGTTCTTCCACGCTCCGTGTAATTTGTTCACGTTCCATAACGTTCAGCGTCACCGAAACTGCTAAGAGGACTTCGACCGCGTTCATCTCTCGTTGCTCTGCCAGCACGCTTTCGGTAACTCCGTACTTGTCGGGGGAATGAAATGTATCGATGACGTGTTCGTGTTCGTGGATGACGTTTTCCTTGCACTTCCTGCTTCCTGCAATTCGATGCCGTACGTGCAAGCCAATCACTGTTTTCCAATTCCGATGACGTAAGCGCCGAAAATAGATGACGACTTCGTGTTTTTTTTTTCAAACGTGATAAAATTCGCATAACAATTTGATATTCTCGCATTTTCTTTTGCGGAACCATTAACAGTTAAAATCGTTACATATTCACATTCATTATGAAGTTGTCGATCAAGGATTTGGTACCTGGTATCGATTACGTGAATCTTCGAATTAAAGCGGTCAGCGAGAAACACGACGACTGCAGAGAAACAACGGACCACCGCATCGACGAGGTTAACCGTTCCATGACGTGGTTGTTTAAAGAATTAGCCGAACTCCATAAGCACCTGCGGACGCTGTACTACATCGGTTGCAAGAAACCGGACACGGAAGAAGATCGTGCGAAAAGAATAAGGGAGTACGAAATTGTATTCGAATCCTGCGTGGCAAGCATTGGGAAATCTGCCAAGAAGAAAGAACGTTAACCAGAAAGATGAACGACATACTCGGTATACCTGAGAAGAAATGGTCGGAAGAAGAAACATGCGCTATATGTTACGTTGCTCCCGTAGCCGTCGTTACGAAACCTTGCGGGCACATGATCTCTTGCGCTATGTGCGCATGTCGTACGGCGACTTGTTTTATGTGCAGAACTCCGATCGTCGAACGTCTCAGGAAGGATAAACTCGACGAAGGGACTGTAATTTTCAAGTGTTAATAAAGAAAATAAAAACAAAAAATATATGTTTCTTTTTGCATCCATGTAGATTATATACGATGAATTTTACTAGTTAAAAAAGGCAACGAGAACAGTGTAACTTTATTTTACATTTCTTTAAATTAACACTTATGAAAATTACGAGTTACGAA